ACAGAGCATCCACACTACCAAGCCCATTATTTCAAAATAAGGGGCTAGTTATTTCAAAATAATAACTCCTGCTTGTCACGAGGAATAATGCTTCTTTCAAAATTGTTATTTTGGGAGTTATTATTACAAAATAAGTTATTTCAAAATAATTTCCTAGTGTAGACATGCCCATAGAGACTAACTGATATATAGCTATATATCTATATATCGCTCTATATATCTATATCTATCTCGTATCATGACTACAACATAGTTGGTATTACAGAGACTTGGTGGGATAATACACACGATTGGAATATTGGTATAGAAGGGTACAGCTTGCTCAGGAAGGACAGGCAAGGAAAAAAGGGAGGAGGTGTTGCCTTATATATTAAAAATGAATACACTAGGGCCGTGGTCACCAACCAGTAGATTGCAATCTACCGGTAGATCTCAGGGGCTCCAAGAGTAGCTCTTGAGCCCTCTCTGAACTGCGCACCTGCACATTGCATTTACATTAGATTTCCTCATGTAATGTAGGCGGGACTTCAAGGAAGGGGTGGGCCAGTAGATCTTTGCCTGTTCTGAGACTTAAAAAGGGATCTTGGGTGTAAAAAGGTTGGAGACCACTGCACTAGGGGTATGTCTAGACTACACTTCCCTGTCGACAGAGAGATGTAGATTAGTCACATTGAAATTGCTAATGAAGCAGGGATTTAAATATCTCGTGCTTCATTAGCATAAACATGGCTGTTGCTTTTTTCAAAACAGAGCTTTTTTTTTAAGGCAGGCTAGACACGGATCTGTGGAAAATAAACCCTTTTTTGACAGATCCTGTAAACATCATTTTTTGCTTCCTTAACAATTTCAACATGCCTAATCTACATCTCTCTGTCGACAGAGAGGTGTAGTATAGACACAGCCTAGGACTAAGGTGGAGATGGACATAGGAGACAGATGTGTTGAGAATCTCTAGGTTAGTTTAAAAGGGATAAAAAACAAGGGAGATATCATGCTAGGGGTCTAATACAGTCCATCTACCCAGGTAGAAGAGGTGGATGAGGCTTTTTTAAAACAACTAACAAAATCATCCAAAGCTCAGGATTTGGTGGTGATGGGGGATGTCAACTATCCAGACATTTGTTGGGAAACTAACATAGCGGGGCACAGACTATCTAGTAAGTTCTTGGACTGAATTGGAGACAACTTTTTATTTCAGACGGCTGAGAAAGCTACTGGGAGGAAGCTGATCTTGGTTTAATTTTAACAAATAGAAAGGAACTGGTTGAAAATTTGAAAATGGAAGGCAGCTTGGGTGAAAGTGATCATGAAATCATGGAGTTTGTGATTCCAAGGAATGGTAGAAAGGAGAACAGCAAAATAGAGACAATGGATTTCAGGAAGGCAGATTTTAGTAAACTAAGAGAGCTGGTAGGTAAGGTCCCATGGGAAGCAAGACTAAGAGGAAAAACAACTGAAGAGAGTTGGCAGTTTTTCAAAGGGGCATTATTAAGGGCCCAAAAGCAAGCTATTCTGCTGCGTAGGAAAGATAGAAAGTATGGCAAAAGATCACATTGGCTGAACCAGGAGATCTTGCATGATCTAAAAATCAAAAAGGAGTCATATAAAAAGTGGAAACTAGGTCAAATTACAAAGGATGAAGATAAGCAAACAATGCAAGTATATAGGGACAAGATTAGAAAGGCAAAGGCACAAAAGGAGCTCAAACTAGCTACAGACATAAATGGAAAAAGAAGACATTCTACAAATATATTAGAAGCAAGAGGAAGACCAAAGACAGGGTAGGCCCATTGCTCAGTGAAGAGGAAGAAACAATAACAGGAAACTTAGAAATGGCAGAGGTGCTTAATGACTTCTTTGTTTCAGTCTTCACCAAGAAGTCTGATGATAAAGGAATGCCTAACATAGTGAATATTAGTGGAAATAGGGTAGGCTTAGACATTAAAAAAGGGAAAGATCAAGTTAAAACATTCTTAGAAAAGTTAGATGTCTGCAAGTCACCAGGGCCTGATAAAATGCATCCTAGAATACTCAAGGAACTGATAGAGGAGATATCTGAGCCATTAGCTGTCATCTTTGAAAAGTCATGGACATCGGGAGAGATTCCAGAAGATTGGAAAAGGGCAAATCTAGTGCCCATCTATAAAAAGGGAAATAAGAACAACCCAGGAAACCACAGACCAGTCAGTTTAGCTTCTGTGCCAGGGAAGATAATGGAGCAAATAATCAAGGAATTCTGCCAACATCTGGAAGAAAATAAGGTGATAGGTAACAACCAACATGGAATCGTAAAGAACAAATCATGTCATACTAATCAGATAGCTTTCTTTTATAGGGTAACAAATTTTGTGGATAGGAGAGAAGCAGTTGACGTGGTATACCTAGACTTTATTAAAAGCTATTAGATTGGTTTGACATGATTTATTCTTTACAAATCCATGCTGGCTGTTACCCATCACCTTATCTTCCAAGTGTTAGCAGAGGAATTCCTTAATTACTTGCTCCATTATCTTTCCTGGCAAAGAAGTTAAAATGAGTGGTCTGTAGTTTCCTGTGTTGTTGTTACTTCTATTTTTTACAGATGGGCCCTATATTTGCCCTTTTCCAGTTTTCTGGAATATCTCCTGTCTTCCATAATTTTTCAAAGATGATAGCTAAAGGCTCAGATACCTTCTCTATCAGCTTATTGAGTATTCTAGGATGCATTTCATCAGGCCGTGGTGACTTGCAGACATCTAACTTTTCTAAGTCATTTTCTAAGAAGCGACTGTCTAGGAAGGAGTACTCCAGAAAAAGATCTAGGAGTCATAGTGGACCACAAGCTAAATATGAGTCAACAGTGACCCACTGTTGCAAAAAAAAGCAAACATGATTCTGGGATGCATTAACAGGAGTGTTGTGAACAAGACATGAGAAGTCATTCTTCTGCTCTACTCTGTACTGATTAGACCTCAGTCGGAGTATTGTGTCAAGTTCTGGGTGCCACATTTCGAGAAATTGGAGAAGGTCCAGAGAAGAGCAACAAAAGTGATTAAAGGTCTAGAAGACATGACTTACGAGGGAAGACTGAAAGAGTTGGAAAAGAGAAGACTGAGACAGGACATGACAATAGTTTTAAGTATCTAAAAGGGTATAACAAGAAGGAGGGAGAAAAATTGTTCTCCTGGATCTCTGATGATAGGACAAGAAGCACTGGGCTTCAATTGCAGCAAGGGAGGTTTATTTAGGTTTGACATTCCTAACTGTCAGGGTGGTTAAGCACTGGAAGAAATTACCTAGGGAAGTTGTGGAATCTCCATCACTGGGGATATTTAGGAGCAGAACAGGTGGGATAGACACCTGTCAGGGATGATCAGATGGTGTTTGGTCCTGTCATGAGAGCAGGGGACCTGACTTGATGACCTCTCAAGGTCCCTTCCAGTTCTATGAGTCTATGTTCTATGATTCTATGAGCTTCCTTGGGCAAAACCCACTTCTTCAGATGAGCTTGAGTGGAGAAAAAAGGGGTCGTCTCAGAATTTATAACAGAAAAAGAGGGGAGAGAAGGGGGGGAAGTACCTGTCAGTTGTAGGGCTAATGAGGTTAATTGAGTCGGGTGGAAGTGTCCCATACTCAGCTTTTGTTTGCAATGAGGAGTTAAATGTAAGAAAGGCTGGTTTTATAATGAGCCATCCAGTTAATGGCTTTGTTCAGGCCCAGGGAAACAGTGTCAAATTTGCAAATGACTCTCTCTCTGTAATTGGCTTGTGAAATTCCTTTGTATAATGATGGCTACTTTTAAACCCAATAACGAATGCCCAGGCAGGTTGAAATGTTCCCCTACAGCAGAGGTGGGCAGCCTTTTCAAACCAAGGAGCCAAACTACATCACAATTCAGAACAAGTGGTCCACAAAGAGCCAGTATAAGAATGCCCATTTGCATGACTGAGAATATACAACTTAATATTTTTGATAATGGACATGATGATTAATAAAAGCATCAATGAAACATTGTGCTCACAGACTTTATTTAGTGGGACTTCTGCTGCTGCATCCTTTTCCACGTTTCTTTGAAGTTTACATCACAAGTGGTCAAATTCAAGTTTGTGCACGCATTCAGGATTTAGGAGTAATTACATGCTTTAAAAATTTTGAATCAATTTTTCATTTGTATTTAAGAAGTTGCATGTATTTTGGGAATGACAAAAGAGTCATATTTGGTTCCACCCTGAGCCATCGTTGGCTCGAGAGCCATAGGTTGCAGACCCCTGCCCTACAGGTTTATGTGTGTGACTAGGTTGCAGACCCCTGCCCTACAGGTTTATATGTGTGACTATTTCTGATGTCTGATTTGTGTCCATTTCTCCTTTGGCACAGAGACTGTCCAGTTTGGCCAATATCCATGGCAGAGGGGCATTGCTGGCACTTGATGGCATATATCACATTCGTGGATGTGCAGTTGTATGATCCCCTGAGGTGGGGGCTGATGTGATTGGGTCCTGTGATGGGGTCGCTTGTGTAGATGTGTGGACAGAGTTGGCACCAGGGTTTGTTGCAGGGGTAGGTTCCTGGGGCAGTGTTTGAGGTGGGATGTGTGGCTGCTGGAAAGAATTTGCTGCAGGTTGGGGGGCGGTCTGTAGGCGAGGACTGGCCTGTTGTGGTGCTATCTAGTGTGGGACTTGCTGCCGACACTTGGGAACCATGAGATGCCCCCAAGATAAAACCGCAGAGAGAGAATAGTTGGCATCCAGAGGCAGGAAAATGTAACCGATGGTGATGTGCCCCGCAGGCCTGGCCAGCAGCCGGAGAGCCAGTATCTGAGAAGGGCGGCTGAGGTGATCTGCGCTGGGTGTGCGAATGACTAAGAACCTTAGACGAGCCCCAGAGTGGTTCCCACCTTGGGGGAAGAGGAGAAGAAGGACAATAGCAGCCATCTAAGAAATCCCTGCTGTCAAGGCAAAGCTCTGAGCTGCGTTTCTCTTCTGCTAACCAAGCCCCCAGCTGGGAGCAGGGTGTGGTGCAGTGGGCGCTGGTCCGTGACAGAGCTGGGGGAGGAAGGAAGTCACATGTATAGAAACAGCACCGAGCTCCTGTCAGAGTTCGGCTTTGACTGGCCCCCACAGACGTCCTCTGAGTCCATCTGAGGCATGGCCCATCTGAGCGAGTATGGGAACTGGATGGGTCGCTCGCAGGCAAAGGGCAAGAAGGCAGCAGCCGAGCGCAGAGGTAAGCGGCCCATGATTGGAGCAGGGAGCAGGCGGCCAGGCCTGGCGGGGGCTGTCGGCTCGGCAGGTCTCACGTGCTGGCTACTTGGATGGGAGGCTGGCAGGAAAACCCAGACTGCTGCCGGGAGCATCGGTGCCTGGTGCCTACGAGGGGAGAGGTGCAGGAAGGGCCAGGCAGGGAAGGGAGGGGTGGGACATGAGCAATCCAAATGTTGGCAGGAGTCCGGGGAGCAGCTACCACAAGTTGCCTCTGGCCAGGAGCACAGTGGGGAAGTTGGCAGGGGCTCTCTCCTCTGCTGTTCTGTGCGACCCCGCTGCGTTGTAGGGAGCAGCGTGGGGACCGTCCCACCTCGACAGGGCTGGCCCCAGCGTGGCACCCGAGGGTGCTGTGCTGCCTTTCCTGCCAGCTGGGCCCCCAAAGCCTTGTGCATGGTTGTGAAAGCTGCCCTGAGTCAGGGTGTTACCCCCTGTGTCCTGGCCACATGCCAGCTCAGGTGACCCCATAAAGTTTCAGCTGAGAACTGGATTCCTCTTTCCCACTGGGAAGGGCTGTTACACGGCCCTCAGGGTCCCCACCCCAAGGGGGCTACATCTCAGCGCTGGGTGCAGAGTCCCTGTACAATCAGCTCGTGTTAACCCCCAGAGGCAGCTGCATCTCAGGCAGGCTGGGGAGAGGAGACAGATCAATAGAAATACACCCAGAGTCTGGGAAGGGCCTTGGGGTGAGAGTGGAGAGACTCTCCGTGGGCTCACTCCCACCTTGGGTGAAACAGCTTCCTTCCCCCGGCGGAGCCAGCTTGTCTGCTGCCACCCTCCCTCTTCCGGGGGGAGGTGGGGCTGTGACCAGTCAGCCTCTCTTCCCCTGCCTGTCTCCTCCTCTGCAGCTCTCCCTCCCCCGAGCCAGCCCAGCCTCAGGGGCTCTGTCATCGCCAGGTGCACCTCCTGCGTCGGACGAGGACGACTATGAGAACGTGTCCCTGGAGGACGGGGGCTGTTCCAAGCCCCCGCCCCTACCACGCGACAAGAAGGTGAAGGCAGCGGCACCGGGCCGGAAGGACCGAGGAGGAGCAGGTACCAGGGCAGGCAGCCCCAGCTGCCCCACGCTGCAGGGATCGCTCAGGCCCCACTGCTCAGAGCCTGAGGGGCAGGTGTCAGTGCAGAACCCAGCCACCAGCCCTGGGCCCCTTTGCGTCCATGGGAGCCGGTGAATCTGGGCCTAGCCCAGTTGCTCCAGCCCAGAGTGGGTGGTGGGAGCATGGACGAGCAGGCTTAGTACACTGCGGGAAGGCGGGGCCTGTGGCTCACCTGTGGACAGGTGAGTTCGATTCCTGATCCCAGGCACTGCGCTCAGACGCGGACACTCAAGCGCTCGTCCCTGTTATGGGCTATGAGCTACCGGCCAGACTCATCCTTCTCTCTCCTCAGCAGGCCCGGTGCCAGCACTGTCCAGGCCCCCCGAAACCGGTGAGAAATGTTCCCGTTCTTTGCTGGGGGATAAGTAAGGTCTGGGGATAAAGTAGCCCCTCACTTCCAGGGGCAGGTCTATGCATCTGGGCGCCCGTCACTCACAGGGGGACAGAACTCACGACCTTCTGTTCCCATCACGCTTGGGAAAGATCCCAGCCAGCAGGGGGCAGCGCGGCACACCCAAGCTGCTCTGATCCAGCTCTGCTGGGCAGTATCCCCTCCCCCAATGCCAGGGCATTGCAGGCTTTACCTCCCCTGCACCCCGTTTCTCACTAAGCCCTGGAAGAAACCCTGCCCCCCCGCATTGAGGGCCGCTCTGCTCACCTTGCCCCTAGGATCCTAGCTCATGCCTGGTTCAGGTGGGGAGGGGAATCTCCTCCCCCCCCACCCCACAAGCCCCCATCCCTGCACTGGGAGGCCACCCGCTATAATCCCTCCTGTTTCCTTTCAGGCCCGGCCATTTCAGTGATCTCAGAGGATCCGGCCCTTAGGCTTCCCAAGTTTGGTGAGGACTCGGGGCTCTGTGTGGCCTGTGCAGCGCTCCCCCCGCTCTCCCCAGCCCAGCCCAGGCCAGGGCAGGACCCATCCCTCCAGTCTGTCCCCAGGCCTATCAATCCCAGCTGCTCCCCAGCTGAAGGTTCCAGGGCCTGGCTGCTCCCTGTGTGGCAGGCTGGGTGGGGGGGAGCCGGGGGGGCCAGCCGAGCACAGACTGGCCCAGAGTAGCTTAGCACAGGGAGCCAGGGTGGCAGGGGCGGGCAAAGCCCAGCAGGGCAGGGGCTGGTGTGGAGAGCTGGGGAGCCCCTCGCCCCTCTGCAGCCCCGGGGGAGAGTTCGATTCCCTGGTCTGTGCCCAGGAGCTGGCCATTAATGCTCTTTGTCCCCCACTCCAGGGCTGGAACTGTCATCAACAGCAGTGGCAGCTACGGTGTGCCAGGGCCATATTGCCCACCTGCCCCCTGCCCCGGGGCACGGGCTGTGTGTGACAGGGGCCTGAAGCAGGGACTGGACTTGCAGAGGAGAGTGAAGGAAAATGCATGTTGTCCTGGGGTGAATTCAGTAGGGGGCTCTCTGCCCCACAGTCAGAGCTTACCCGAGGGCAGCACCTGGGGCGTGGGGCTGCAGGGAGCAGGTTGCGGGGGCTCTGTTTCAGGAACTCTCCCCTTGCTGTCACTGCTGACCCCAATGGCACAGTGCAGTGCTAGGGGGCGCTACGCTGCAGAGGCCACAGTGCAATGCTAGGGGGGCGCTATGTTGCAGGGGTTACTGTGCAGTGCTAGTGGGCACTATCCTGCAGAGGCCACAGTGAAGCACTAGGAAGTGCTATGCTGCAAGGGCTTGCAGTGCTAGGGGGCGCTACGCTGCAGGGGCTACTGTGCAGTGCTAGGGGGCGCTACGCTGCAGAGGCCACAGTGCAATGCTAGGGGGGCGCTATGTTGCAGGGGTTACTGTGCAGTGCTAGTGGGCACTATCCTGCAGAGGCCACAGTGAAGCACTAGGAAGTGCTATGCTGCAAGGGCTACAGTGCAGCACTAGGTGGCGCTATGCTGCAGGGGCCCACAGTGCAGCACTAGGGGGCGCTATGCTGCAGGGGCCCATAGTGCAGCACTAGGGGGCGCTATGCTGCAGGGGCTGCAGTGCAGCACTAGGGGTGCTATGCTGCAGGGGCCAGTGTAGTGCTGGGGGCACTGTGTTGCAGAGGGTCCATAGTGCAACACTAGGGGGTGTTATGCTGTGTGTGGGGGGGCCTAGAATGCAGCACTAGGGGGCGCTATGCTGAAAGGGCTACAGTGCAGCATTAGGGGGTGCTATGCTGCAGGGGCTACAGTGCAGCACTACAGGGTGCTATGCTGCAGGGACCCACAGTGCAGTGCTAGGGGGCACTATGCTGCAGGGGTTAGAGTGCAGGGCTAGGGGGCGCTATGCTGCAGGGCCCACAGTGCAGTGCTAGGGGGCACTATGCTGCAGGGGCCACAGTGCAGCGCTAGGGGGCACTATGCTGCAGGGGTCTCAGTGCAGCGCTAGGGGGTGTTATGCTGTGGGGGGCCCACAGTGCAGCACTAGGGAGCACTATGCTGAAGGTGGGGGGGGCTCACTCCCTGCAGTCAGTGCTGGCCTCAGTGCCCTAGGGGGCGCTGTGCTGTCTGACAGGTAAGGCATACAGTCAGACAACCATGCCTAAACACAGCCAATAAGCAAAACTCCTGGGGAAGTTTTGGGGAAATTCGGGGAGCTTGCCCTAGTGTCCATCCCATTGCAGGGGAATTCCTGCCCCTTTCCCTGGATTCCACTTACCTAGTCAACCCTCCAGGGGACTCTCCTTCCCTCCAGGCCCTGTACTGCACAGCTCTCCGGTGGTTGCAGCACTCCACCCCAGAAGTAGCTGCATGGAGATGCTGGGAGAAGTGATCCTGAATCACTGCTGGGCAGAGGGACTGGCTTCTTGCTCTTCCCAAATGGAGATGCTCTCTGTGGCGTTACCCAGACATCTTGTGAGACCTCCCCTCCCTTCTTTTCCATGAACCCACTTGGTACCATCAGGTACCTCCAGCCAACTGGAGACCAACATTTCCCAGTCACCTCCTGGAGGGAGAGTCCTTTGCTATAACCCGCCCTCCCCAACCCCCC